CTTTATCAGTAGCAAGAATATAGAAGGAAGACCAACAACCAGCTGCGCTGAGATCTAAACCGTTAAAAGGCAACAACTTAAGGGTCGCCCAAGAAAAGTTGACGAGCGATCGTAATTGTCGCTATAGTTTATGTGAAAGGTGTGGTTCTCAAAGTTCCCTATGAGAAAATGAATGGCAATTTCTTTGCAGAGTTCATTGGAAAGCATATTAATACTTGTTTTGCAAAGTGCGGACGTAAAAAAACGATCGTCGCCCGTTTCTCATGGATAATGACCCATCACAAACGAGTAAAGTAGCGCGAAAAGCAATGGAAAAAATCGAGGTTGAATTTCACGAGATTCCGGCTAGATCGCCTGACCTGAATCCGATTGAAAATCTCTTTCACTTGGTAAAGAAAAGTCTCGAGAATGAAGCAATTGAAAATAATATAACGTAAGAAACGTTCCAAGACTTTTCAGCGCGGGTTTTAAAATCCTTGGAAAATCTGTCAACCGATGTAATCTATCGTACTATTTCAAGCCCGTCAAGTGGAGTAGATGCTGTTCTTAAAGCAGGAGGAAATCGCATAAAATACTAGGAGTTCTATCTTTTCCTGTTATATATAGTAATTCAAGGCAGAATAAGGGCAGTATAGATCAAAATAGGTGCAGCCATTTTCTCAAATAGGCAATTAGCTTGCTGTCAACAAGTAGATTAAATGCTAAGTACAATTACACATCTTCACAGCGTGACTCCAATGGTGCAGCAACGCAAAATTACAAACAGTGTTCCCTTGATATTTCCTAATCATTTGCCAAGGATGCAAAAATTTTTGTTTTCGAATACACAAAGTGGTTTGCATTACTTGAATAAATGCATTTATTCATTTTAAAATCTTATTTAGGTCATTATTGCTAAATTAAGATCAGTGCTCCACAAACCTAGCTTAAATTCCTTGACTATCTCTCTGAATTCTTTAGGAAAATGGGGAGCACTGTTCAAAATCGTGCAAGATATAGTTATAATTTATTTATTTGGGAGCAAATAAGTTGACCATTAAATATCATTATCAAATATCGTTATATTATTTGCAGATATTAAAATTTAATAGATTTACAATGAATTTTTTGATGGAGTAATGTGTGGCCTATGTTTATGACTTTATGTTTTGCATATCTGGGCGTGAAACATTATAGGTTGTAATTAAGTGCTTATTACGTCAATGACTAATGCGATTTAATTATAACTTGTTATCTAAAACAAACTTAATAGCAAAGCAATGTCCACATGGTATTCAGTTGTCAAATGTAACTTGTGAAATATATACAAGACCACAAATTACGGCTTAAATATTTGTTTCCATCTTTTTATATTTCCCAAAGTGTGCACACGCCCATAATGTTGTTAGATTAAGTACGATTAAAGTGAAAATACAAAAAAAGGATACATGTATCAAATAGCGTACTTTAATATGTCATTATTATTATATTTTATTGTTATTATATTATAAATGTTTATTATTTATTTAGACGCACGTTATTAATATGCAAAACATTATTAAAGGTTCACTAACGATTCAAGGATTAAGGCCAATGTATTTTGATGACATGAAAGTAAAATTGTAAGATAATGCACATTCAGACAATCCTGGTCAAAAATTCTTGGCGCACTTAGTCGAAATAGCATAACCTTTACTTCATTACTGACTACCATATACATACTTGTCCATTTTATGCAAAATTTCATGTCCAAACACCCCCTATCCCCCTTATCAATGTTGTGTAACACCTTGGACGTATAACACACTACACACAACATTGAACGGGGGAAGGGGGTTTGCTATGCTTGTTATTGATGTGGGAGTCAAATTTCGCACAGTCAGTGTCAAGTGCGCCAATGTTTTTGACCAGGATTGTCCGAATATAAAAATGAAACTAAAATTTATGTACATATATAATTTTGACTCAGAGGTGTTTTCTACGTATGTTGGGTGGCGTGTTCTAGATGATTTCGATGGGAGTTATTGAAAACCTAGCGTGCGCGTCGTAATGTTGATAATTATGACGTCATATGTATGTGTGTGTGTGTGTGTGTGTGTGTGTGTGTGTGTGTGGGGGAGGGGGGTTGGTTTTACTATGAATCATGATAATTCCGTGTACATAAAATGAGGCTGGCTACAAAATAAAATTGAATAATATGCATTTCGATAATTAGATTCATTTAAGGAAGGTTTACAGAGAAAACACGGCAAAGACACGGGCTTTTGTACCTTATTATAGAAAGGAATCGGCCGGTTTTCCAATAGGAAGATCGCGAGAAAATGTCATAAAAGCCCTTTATCAGTAGCAAGAATATAGAGGGAAGACCAACAACCAGCTGCGCTGAGATCTAAACCGTTAAAAGGTAACAACTCAAGGGTCGCCCAAGAAAAGTTGACGAGCGATCGTAATTGTCGCTATAGTTTATGTGAAAGGTGTGGTTCTCAAAGTACCCTATGAGAAAATGAATGGCAATTTCTTTGCAGAGTTCATTGAAAAGCATATTAATACTTGTTTTGCAAAGTGCGGACGTAAAAAAACGATCGTCGCCCGTTTCTCATGGATAATGACCCATCACAAACGAGTAAAGTAGCGCGAAAAGCAATGGAAAAAATCGAGGTTGAATTTCACGAGATTCCGGCTAGATCGCCTGACCTGAATCCGATTGAAAATCTCTTTCACTTGGTAAAGAAAAGTCTCGAGAATGAAGCAATTGAAAATAATATAACGTAAGAAACGTTCCAAGACTTTTCAGCGCGGGTTTTAAAATCCTTGGAAAATCTGTCAACTGATGTAATCTATCGTACTATTTCAAGCCCGTCAAGTGGAGTAGATGCTGTTCTTAAAGCAGGAGGAAATCGCATAAAATACTAGGAGTTCTATCTTTTCCTGTTATATATAGTAATTCAAGGCAGAATAAGGGCAGTATAGATCAAAATAGGTGCAGCCATTTTCTCAAATAGGCAATTAGCTTGCTGTCAACAAGTAGATTAAATGCTAAGTACAATGACACATCTTCACAGCGTGACTCCAATGGTGCAGCAACGCAAAATTACAAACAGTGTTCCCTTGATATTTCCTAATCATTTGCCAAGGATGCAAAAATTTTTGTTTTCGAATACACAAAGTGGTTTGCATTACTTGAATAAATGCATTTATTCATTTTAAAATCTTATTTAGGTCATTATTGCTAAATTAAGATCAGTGCTCCACAAACCTAGCTTAAATTCCTTGACTATCTCTCTGAATTCTTTAGGAAAATGGGGAGCACTGTTCAAAATCGTGCAAGATATAGTTATAATTTATTTATTTGGGAGCAAATAAGTTGACCATTAAATATCATTATCAAATATCGTTATATTATTTGCAGATATTAAAATTTAATAGATTTACAATGAATTTTTTGATGGAGTAATGTGTGGCCTATGTCTATGACTTTATGTTTTGCATATCTGGGCGTGAAACATTATAGGTTGTAATTAAGTGCTTATTACGTCAATGACTAATGCGATTTAATTATAACTTGTTATCTAAAACAAACTTAATAGCAAAGCAATGTCCACATGGTATTCAGTTGTCAAATGTAACTTGTGAAATATATACAAGACCACAAATTACGGCTTAAATATTTGTTTCCATCTTTTTATATTTCCCAAAGTGTGCACACGCCCATAATGTTGTTAGATTAAGTACGATTAAAGTGAAAATACAAAAAAAGGATACATGTATCAAATAGCGTACTTTAATATGTCATTATTATTATATTTTATTGTTATTATATTATAAATGTTTATTATTTATTTAGACGCACGTTATTAATATACAAAACATTATTAAAGGTTCACTAACGATTCAAGGATTAAGGCCAATGTATTTTGATGACATGAAAGTAAAATTGTAAGATAATGCACATTCAGACAATCCTGGTCAAAAATTCTTGGCGCACTTAGTCGAAATAGCATAACCTTTACTTCATTACTGACTACCATATACATACTTGTCTATTTTATGCAAAATTTCATGTCCAAACACCCCCTATCCCCCTTATCAATGTTGTGTAACACCTTGGACGTATAACACACTACACACAACATTGAACGGGGGAAGGGGGTTTGCTATGCTTGTTATTGATGTGGGAGTCAAATTTCGCACAGTCAGTTTCAAGTGCGCCAATGTTTTTGACCAGGATTGAGCAAATTTATATATAACAATATATAAATTCAAGTTAATGAGACAACACGTTTGTCACCTTCAAACCTGGTTATAATCGCATAGTAACAGGATAAGCTTGTCAACAGCCACAAAAAGGCGATATCCAATAGTCCAAAGTTCAAATGTTTCTCTGGGCATGTGTAAAACCGAATGAAAGATCAACTGACCAATCATATGTCAACAACGAACACGCAGAACAAAGGTCAGTGTGATAAGGGAGTTCACTTTGACAAATATCCCAACAAAGAGCAATGTCTTGTTACCGAGAAAGAAAATTTGAAAATTTGACTTGGTGCGGAGCTGTAAAGAATTACGGACATCGAATGAACTGAGACAATGTGACAGAAAAGAGTTTATGAACGCTGGAATTGACATATCATGGTTATATTAAAGAAAATTTGGTCAGTAACTCAGTATGATAATTCAGTGAGACGCAGTTTATTCAAATAGAACTCTACCGGACAAGCGCTTTTACTCTTCTGGTGGACAAAGGAATACGTTTGCTCAAGTCAAGTTATTACCATTAAATGAAACCGCCGCTGGGGAAATATCATTCCGTGTCTCATACACATGCTTCCTAAAGTGAAGCGGTATTCGGCGCTAAGTATGCGGTGCCTTGACACGTTGTTTCGTATTCCACTTCTCAAATCAACCAAAATGTATTAAATTCGTCTATTTTATAACAACATTCCGGTGTATTATTTGTTGATGAAAAAATTCCAATGACAATTTTATTACCACCTTGAGGTTAGCCGCAGATTAGGCTTCAGATTACGCCTCAGATTTGGCGTTGGATTGGGTTTCAATCAGGCCTTACATTAAACTGTATTCAATCGCTCAAAAGTAGAGTTATAAAACTTCTTTTTCAGCTATTTTACAAAATTAATTTGACCTGGATACATTGTCAATACTTTACTGTTCAAAACTTAAGAAAGCAAGCTCATTTGTGAACGAAATTTAAGACTTTAAACTCTGCGCATATGTGTTTATGTATATTTGCGATAAATCGACAAGATGGATATCATGAAAGATTGGTACGATAACATGTATGCCTACGCTTATGAAAATTGTATTTTGTCTACCAAATACATATTATTTTACAATTTCTGCTAATATCATGAATGCATGATTGCATGGATGTTAGATCGCAACGCTGTGGTTATAAGCACCTGAATTGCATTTTCGTCCTGCTATTTTGAATTAAAGTAATGAATAAGCTATTTTTCTGAGAGTAATGTCATATAATTCGAAAAAGTTCCACCAATCATAGATGGATATCATGAAAGATTGGTATGATACCATGTATGCCTACGCTCATGAAAATTGAAAATCCTTCATGTACTATTATTTAACTGCATAATCTATTTTGTCTACCAAATACATATCCTTACAATTTCTGCTAATATCATGAATGCATGATTGGATATTCGATCGCAACACTGTGTTTATAAGCACCTGAATGGCATTTTGGTCCTGCTATTTTGAATTAAAGTAATGAATAAGCTATTTTTCTGAGAGTAGTCACATAATTCGAGAACGTTCCACCAATCATAATAGAAATAAAATAAGTGTAGTTAAATAAATGTTGTGCAAAACGTATTCATGAATACATTAACTTTTAAAAAAAAAAAATAAAAATAAACAAAATGTGCCTTGATGGTGAGCTTTGTTTGTCGTGTTACCAACCCTCCAATTAAGAATTGTAAGATAGAAGCTTTGTGGGGAAGCTGCTGGTTGTCTTGGCCCCATCCAGGTTTCCTGTATATTCCAGGTTTTTTCTGGCCTCCCTGACTATCCAGCTATAGTATGAGTGATGGTAACGCCCAAATATATGTCTAACTATCATCTGGCAGCAGCTGTCTTGTATACAAATACAGCTGTGGTGGGAGTTCGTCTATGGGGAATACACATGCTGTGTATTTGTGGGGTTGAAGTGTTCCCAATGGTCAACTTCAGGCCCATAGACTCAGGTTATTTATGTAAATATAATCAGTCGAATCGTAGGTACTGTCCAAGGGGATTATCACCCCTTGGTTCAGGTCTATGTCAGAGGGGGTCGCTACCCTTCGGGCAGAGCTCCGAGCATTCAGTCTCTCCTAGCAGGTCTTATATATACGCCTGCGGGATGAAAACATAAGGCTTAATGAGTCTTTGGGTTGACCAGAGTTTGAGAGTATAATGTATATAATTGGTTCACTTCACCCTGAACCCATTCTCCCACAATGATTTGGTGTGTGTTTACTTATTTTCGGGCTGTTTTTTTCACCTAACGTGCTTGAATTATTAAAGCAAATTTATATATAACAATATATAAATTCAAGTTAATGAGACAACACGTTTGTCACCTTCAAACCTGGTTATAATCTCATAGTAACAGGATAAGCTTGTCAACAGCCACAAAAAGGCGATATCCAATAGTCCAAAGTTCAAATGTTTCCCTGGGCACGTGTAAACCGAATGAAAGATCATCTGACCAATCATATGTCAACAACGAACACGCAGAACAAAGGTCAATGTGATAAGGGAGTTCACTTTGACAAATATCCCAACAAAGAGCAATGTCTTGTTACCGAGAAAGAAAATTTCCACCCACCCACCCGTTCATGTTCCTGGTATCTGGTGCATTGTATGGGTACTAACTAATGTTATGCAAGGACTGTTCAAGAACAATTTGTCAAGAAAGACTATCGAACAATTTTCTCATGGAAAATTATCGCTATGTAAATACTTGAATGTTCAAACAAATAAATTTTGGTTCGGGGTTGAAGTGTTCCCAATGGTCAACTTCAGGCCCATAGACTCAGGTTATTTATGTAAATATAATCAGTCGAATCGTAGGTACTGTCCAAGGGGATTATCACCCCTTGGTTCAGGTCTATGTCAGAGGGGGTCGCTACCCTTCGGACAGAGCTCCTATGGAGCATTCAGTCTCTCCTAGCAGGTCTTATATATACCCCTGCGGGATGAAAACATAAGGCTTAATGAGTCTTTGGGTTGACCAGAGTTTGAGAGTATAATGTATATAATTGGTTCACTTCACCCTGAACCCATTATCCCACAATGATTTGGTGTGTGTTTTACTTATTTCGGGCTGTTTTTTCACTTAACGTGCTTGAATCATTAATGGTCTATATATGATATATGAACTATGTTTACGACAAAATCGATTTTGGGGACGGGGCTAATGCTACCTATATATGAAAAATGCTAAGGGGCTAATCCCCACCCAAAACACCTTATATTATTTGATATCAAATTTTACTCTAGGTATAAACAGAAATCAAATATTATTCATGTTTTTCTTAGCTGTATGCATCAATTAAGAACGGAAGATTTATACTCTAGTCTATTTTAGGTTCAGTGACAGCCTACAATGCTAAAATGGAAGATGTTCATTGTTCTCCAAAACAAAAGATGGTGGTGAAGAGTGCAGATTATGGAGACTTTAATAAGAATGGTGCCTTTAATGACGATCAAAATATTGATACCACGTGCAGCAAATTAACTAATTGTCAGGTGAAATCTCGTTGTGGAGGAAATAGATCTTGTGAACTGACCATGGATAAAAATTTACTTGCATCACAATACTGTTCTGATACTTTGAAAGAAATTTATACCAAGTACACTTGTGTGGATGCCTACGGCTCTTCCACTATAACTACAGGTAATAGTGATATAATTACATACGACCATATCACTAAGACCGTATATCGAAGGCACTCCGAGACTATGTATAAACTAAACATTCCAAATAGACTTTTTGACTGCACATGTTTATTCATTTGCACTTTTGCACCAAACGACCTCGCTTTTCGTGTACATGTGTGTGTCTGTGTTAGCATGGCATCCAGGCGCACATGAAAGTTATATCATCTTGTTTCCTGCACGAATATGTTTCTCCTTGATCTTGATCCCGCGCCCGCCATCACAAACCTATTCTTACCCCTACTGCGCACGAAACGTGAGGAATAACCACATGGATACAAGGCTGAACTAAGGCTGAACTAAGGCTGAACTAAGGCTGAACTGTGCCTTTAAGAAATAGAAAACGAGTCGCGTGCGTTTACATTCCTTGCATTATGACACCATAAACACACGAGACGAGTTCTATTTCTTCAGTTATAATATTAGAAGAAGATATTACCCAGTGGTAGTGCTTATAGAAACAAGCTTGAATTTTCAGGCGCGCGAAGGAAAAAAAACATAAATTTTAGAAATTAAACTTAAATAGCAACCAATTCGAATTTGTTATGTTGCCTCAGTGACAATCGTATTTACCAATATAAGCCATGCACACCACAATAGTAACAAATATGCAGTATGCATGGTAACACATTCATAAATTATTATATTACACAAGAATTATCAGATACTGTATTTACTCGACTGTACAAAAAAGTATAGTCAAAATATTTTGCACAATTTTTGACTCACTCGCAATCGGAGAAAGATTAACTACCCAATCAAGTTCCCCTTGGTACCCATGCAGGCATAATTGATGAACGGTGTACATACAGCAAAAAAATATTATATACCACTCTTCGATGACGGGTGTAAATCTAAATGCTGCAAATTTACTTTAAAGAATGAAGGACAAAACTCAGCAATATTACACAACGCTTAAATTTGAATAGTGAAGTAGTTTTTTGGACGTAATGAAAGGTTTATATTTACAAAAAAAATTCAAGTGCACTGTTCGATTTTAACCACTATAATTTTTTTATTCCTGCTTTAGCGCCCAGAATTAGATTGTCACGTCGAAACACAGGTTTCATCGAAATAAGAAATGGTTCAACTTGGAGGAGAGTTGTTGAAGAAAATTGGGATAAGAACCGTCAGAAAATGTTGTGTCAGCACTTGGGATTTGAAGAGACTGCTGACAATAAAATTGTTACCAAACAATTAGGGAGTGGACAAAATATTGCAACTGGCGACTTCGTATGTTATAACACTATACAACCGAGTGGAACATCCTGTTGTATCCATCTTGAACCCTCCACATCTCCTCCGAGTACTAAGATTACAGATGTGCAATGTAAGTGTATAGGGCTTATATAGTGTAGCAGGCTCTCAAAGCCTCAAAATATCGGTGAGCAACGCCGTATGCACAGAATTTAATATTTGAATTATAATGTCGTATGTTTCCTTGAATTGAGCACTATGTACCTAGCCAAGTCAGGCGGGAATATTGCGTCACACCAGGAGAAATGCCGTCGCAATTTGGGGTGCCAAAAACAATGCACTATTGACAGCAAATGAAGCCACTATTTTAATTCGCCAGAAAATTGTTGAAGGGTTTATAGTGGAAATTTTGAGTGGAACTTTTATACATTTAATGGGCCTAACGGCCCTAACGGCCCTTAAAACCTGCCGAAATTGTGACGGCTACCCACCGGGCACACGACGTTGTTTCAACGTTGAAATTTGGTCGAAAAAAGGTTGCGACGTCGACAACCTAATATCTACGTTGCTTTGACGTTGTTTTACAAACATTGGTTCAACAGCAGCCAACAGACGTTGAATTAACGTTCATTCATGGTTAAATGTACGACGTCGATTTGTGAACCAATCTCAACGTTGTTTTAACGTGGATTCAACGTTGAATTATGGTTGACGAGATTGGCAACCTAATTTCAACGTTGTTTCAACGTCGAAACAGTAACGTCGATCCAATTTGCATAGTCAACCCTTTTTCAACGTCTATACAACGTCTGGAAGGTCATTTCCAACGTTGATTCAACGTTGGATAAACGTCATTTTGCCCGCTGGGTAATAGACCTTATGCATAATGACGTCACAAGGCTTGATGCCCGCGAGGAATGCTGGTCTAAGTAGTAGTCATCACCCAGGAAAATTAAACAATTTAAAATGGCCACTATCGAAATATTCCCGGGCGATGACTACTAAGACCAGCATTTCTCGCGGGCATCAACCCTTGTGACGTCATTATACATATATTAAGGTCTATTCATCCCGTACTGTATTTCACTGTATTTAGCTTTGGTGGAACTCAACTATGTGTTGTGACGTCACTTTCAAGGACTGAATATAAAGGAGGTTCCATTACATTGCGTAGACTCAGGCTACTCAGCAGCCCGAGTAGATGCCAATGCAGGCGTTAATTTACTTTTAATCTAATTTTTAATCTAATTTTACTGTAGGCAAAATATGTGACAAACCGCTACTCCATGACACAAACGATTTTCCAGACTCCGTATTTTCTGGAAGTGGTGATCCAAATGATAATTATGAACGTGCAAGGATTACTAAAGGTGGCTGGTGTCCGTGGGGTTCTGGTACTAGATATCTTATGCTTGATCTTCAGAAACAATATCACATAACACAAGTTGTAGTTATGGCTGATAGCTCACAAACAAGGTGGAGCAGCTCATATTCGTTAAAATACAGTCATAATAAAACATTGGTGGATGGTAGCAGTGCAATACCGGTAATATAAAAAAGATAGTGGGCGTTCTTTCCTAGAAAGAATGTAGGTAGTGCTTCTTGCAAGATTAGCCCGTATCCATGGGGAGGGAACAATAAGTGACTCCTTGGCTTATTTACTCTGAACTGGTAGATCGGGCTAAATATACACTACTTAATTAATCACCGCGCGCGGTATTTAAAAGAAAACCAACACAATCATGGACTAAATACTGTCTATTCACACTATCATTTCAGCGGTCGCAAAGCCTGCTGGTATATAGAGCTCCGAACTTCTAGGCATGACCTCTCAAGTTAAATCTGCTCATTAAATGTATTTGAGTGACAGGGTCTTTTCTATTTGTACAAAGTCCGGACACTTTATTTTAAACCGAACAAACACTAATTTTTTAAACAGATTAGCGCTGGGTTGAATTGCGACTATGGTATGCATGCATGCATGCATGCATGCATGCAGGCAAATGTATATTCCTATATTTATCTGTACATGTTAATTTAGCCATATTATTATTTTTGTCTTTTCACTGTGGAAGAAAGGTAAAATGTATTTCTGAATTCTTACCATGTTTCAGATAAAAGGAAACAAGTATGGCTTCAAAGCATCGACAACAAACCTTACTATTTATAATGTGAGATATCTGAAAATAGAATCCACTGACAACCAAAACTTTTGTCTTCGAATAGAATTGTGTGGAGAGGGTAAGACATGACTTTGCTATTAGTTGTAAAAATTAGGATTTTTATCATTTGCTTCATTTATGCATAGGATTGGACTTAGAATTAGTGTTAGATAGTGATTAGTATTAGATAGTTGAAAATTTTAATTGTTGTGACAAGTGGTAATTGAGCTTTATTATGTGATAAATAACATGCATGCATATTCAATTTTTAACATATTGACTAGAGTAGATTTGTTGATGACTACATCCTAGTGGTAAAGGATCAAACATCAACCTGTTTTTGTCCAATGGCAAAAAATCCTTGATTTTGGCTTGATCAAGACACAACTTTCCTTTTGATGTAAAGTTGAAGAGAAATGAATCAAACTCCATCCTTTACCAGGGGCCGGTTGTATGAAACTCTAGATCTTCACTACTTTTAACCACTATTTTGTAGTTAGGTAGTAGAAAACTCTAAAATACACGATTTTGATTGGTTGACTTTCGCACTAACTCTAGTTAACTTCAATTAATTACTTTTTTATACAACCGGCCCCCAGAGCATGGTGTTATGATCAAAGTACACTTTATCATGTTTCAAGTAGCACTACGTGACCATGCAATTCAAATCTGTATGAACTTAAAAGTCGTATGACTAACCCATATTACATAGGATAAACTTGGTATATAAATTTAAGAAAACTTAATGGTTAATTGGATCAGGGAAATCCGGGATGTTTGAAGAGGTAAGGCGAATTTAGGCGATTCAGTGCGACTCGTGCGGTGACTTAATAAAGCAGTCGGTTGGTCCCGTAGTGTGGACTTTAATTAAATTAATAGTAAAACATGGTTAAATCAATTGTTTGCTAATATTTGCATTGTTTTTTATTTTAGTTCAAACGCCAGCTCCTGTAAAGAATATCAATGTTTCACCATCGGATTACTCTGCACGTGTGACCTGGGAAATACCTACACCTCAGGACTCCACCTATATAACACATTATTTAATTTATCTCAACAACAAATTTGTGAAGGAGATATCTCGAGCAATGTATGGAACCGAATTCAATATTCTTCCACTTAAACCGAACACTGAGAATACTTTTGGAATACAGACCAAAGATGGTTCTGTCCAGGGAGGCACTTACGTCAGTGAAACCTTTACAACTAAACAAGCAGGTAAAGATAGACATGGGGTTCGCGCAAAACTTGAATGTCCTTGAATGTCCCTGAATTTGTAAAGGAGTGCGAAAGTCTTGGAATTCGTCATGCTTTAGTTTATGGATATTTTAGTTCTGAAATTATTTGACATTCAAAAACGGACATTTTGTTGAATTGATTTTGCATGATCATACAGTATTTGACAAAGCTGTTTGAAATTCACTAAAGTTGCGTTTTGAACAATTCAACGTGACATTGTACTGATTTCGAACGCTTTCTTTTCAGTGTTTAGTGCTTGAATATGCCGATACACATGGTCTTGAATGCCCTCGTCCTCGAAAAGACCTTGAATTTGACTTTGTCTGCATGATATGTACGAACTCTGGATAGAAGATACTACAAAAAAGTTACTTATCCCCGCGTATCAAAATAAGCCCCCTCCTTGTTTTTAGAGAAAATTTATTAAGCCCTCTCATCTCCCCTTCAATTGCATGAGCAAACTGGCTAGATTCACTTATTGACCATGGAATTTCACATAATTTACTTCATTTCATACTTTTAGAACCTTTTACTTATGGGTCGATCGCGATATCTTATTCAAGTCTAACCATATCGAAACCACCGGCATATATCAAGTAAGTTCACCTGATACTTCGACCAAACATGAGGCTTGCAATGGACGACTTGCGCTTTAGACTAAATTTTAATGTAAGTAAGAACAACGAAATCTATCACCACAGCTAGAAAGAGCATCTTGGAATTAGTAATATTACAAAGTTTGGTTGCGAAATGTTGTAAAATACGGAGAATATAGCCCTTCAAAGTTGGCAAATTTGTATACTTTTGTATTACGTGCGTGAATTGGTAACTAAATTAGTTACCAATTTCCGCACGTAATAGAAATGTATACAAATTTACCAACTTCGCAGGGCTATATTTTCCGTATTTTACAACATTTCGCAACCAAACTTTGCAGTTTTTCTAATTTTGATAACTTCTTTCCGAAAATATCCTTTGTTATTCCCAGATTAAAAATTTTTCTAAAGCGCATGCAAGTCGTCCATTAGCGAGCTTAAGCAAGCGACGTTTTTGTCAACATGGGTGTCAGATTGACGAAGGGGGAATGGATTAAAAACTCTGTTTGTATCAGTTTGTGGTAATCTTCAACACATGTGACAAAATATAAGATTTTTAAAGTCTTTTGCTTCCTTGCATGAACGCAATGATACAAAATGCGGGCAAAATCAGTTGTACCAATTTTCGGGTGACGTTTTTGTCAACACGAACACGCTTGCTCAAGCTCAATATAGATTGATAGATAGATTATTTAATAAGATTTTACATCGCAGCCCAAAAAAGCTGAATTGCGTAAAATTTACAAAACATATAAATTAACTGTAGGTTATAAAGTCTATAGACACATGCATATACATATACATATACATATACACACATACAAATACTAACAGTACACATATTTTCATACATATACATTACGATCTTTAAGGTTCAAGTTAGACTTATGTTATGAAAACAATTCATAGCAAACCTATTTCTTTAAATTATTTGACATTGCGGAAATATAAGAGTTTCTAAAACGATTGGTTCGTATAGTAGGACAATCAAACGCACGTTCTCTCCTCCGGTTGTAAGTGGGATTGTGTTTGGGTGGCAGTAGTTGATAAAGCTTGTGGTCTGGGTTGGATACTATTGTCTTGAAAAGTTTTTCACA